AATAGACTTCTTTTTGAGTTGCGGGACATGGGGACATTGAATGATTGGTTGAAACAAAATCGAGAGTATTGGAGCTATTTGTTTCTATAGAATATATTTTTTTTCGAGCTGTGGCACATAAGGACATTGAATGATTAGTTTAAACGAAATCGAGAGTATTAGAGCTATTTGTTTTTATAAAATAGGTTTTCTTTTCGATGCTCGTGATATGGGGGATTGAATGCTTGGTTAAATGTTTAGTGTTAGCAAATTCGTTGTTAAAAAATTGAAATTGAATGATTCATACTATTTAGAATAGCGGGTGTTGGTGGATGTGGGTGTGGGTATGGGTGTGGGGTGTAGGTATGGGTGGGTGTGAGTTTGGGTGTGTGGCTTTGACTGTGGCTGTGACTGGGTGTGGGTGTGAGTGTGGGGTGTAGATGGGTGGGATGTGAGTGTGCGTGTGGGTGTGACTGTGGGTCTTCTCTTCATCCACACCCGCACCCTCTTGGCACACCTACTCACATCGACACCCACGACCACACTCATACCCTCAGCCGTACATCCACACCCCACCCACACCCACACCCCACATCCACATCCACACCCAACCCACACCCTAGATGGATCAAGGAACAATATAATCTTTCACATGTTGTATAATTTCCTGATGATGTATACCAGATAGGTGTACGAAAGCTTGAATACTTTCTTTTTTTTCTGTATGAAAAAATGATATTTACGGCAGTTATCTCTCTTTTCTTTTCATATATTTGATAGTTTTTATTTTCTACTTATATGACTAAAAAAACCATACTGATTAAATCCAAATTTTAATGTACAAATTTGTGTATTCAAAAACAAAAAAATACAATTATTCAAGAATAAACTGAGATATACTTACAAATGAAGAGGACTTCCAACTAAAATTTATTTTGTTTTTCGTTCCAAATATAATCAATGGATTTACGTATCGAATTGACAAAAACAAAATCAAACATAAGACTACAACGAATATTTTCAGTTGCTGTTGTGTCATACTCGTCATTTTCTTTCAAATTGATTAAAAAGAAAACGCTTTTAATTTTCTTTCTCAAACAACTGTTCATAAATGCAGAATTATGTTAGGAGATATTATGTATCTTCTAGTTAATAGTACTTGTTCATATAGATACTCATCATAGACTGCAGATAAACAAGCAAAAAGTGTTAGATAATTTGACTCTTTGTAGTCGTCTCATAAAACAATTATTTAATAAATATAAGCCTAGAACAGCTTTCACTCATCTGAACAAGATTATACATATCTTGAAATTCTCAAAATATTCTGATCTATGTACAATTATATTGATAAGTCCATCTAAAATATCAAAAGCTAAGATTATTATTATATGTGATCATAGATAGTCACCTGGTTTCCAGAAAACATTCCCGATGAAACGAATGATGTCAACATTGTGTAGGTTTCTTGTTAGGAATAATGATCTTCTATGAAAATCTAAACACTTTGTTCTGCCTTTATTTTATATAATATGAAGGAAAACTTAACAATGAATTACAGCTCTTCAGATAGGGGAATATCAACTAATCCATTTGTCGCTTTATACTTTAGCAAAAAAAATCTGAAATATAGTTTTTGTGCGTCAAACAAGGAGACAGAGAAATGGTTAAGTGAACACGAGAAGAAAGCATACGTATCATATTTTGATTCTTCTTTCCCTCGTTGGTTGTTTTATTTTGATGGATTCAACTATCGTTATTAACAGTTTGTATTAAAGATAAAAATCAACGCAGTTAAAATAAGACAACATGTATCGAATAGAAATCATCTTATTTCTACTCAAGATCACATGAAATGTTCCATATTTTATGTATTATATTATACTGCATGATTTGTAATCATGCATGAAAGTGACTGATAACAATGTGAAGATAATTCAATGATGTTTTGAATGATTAGAGCGTGATTTATATTTTGATGTCATTCTAGTTATCTGTAATAAAATATGACTTTCATTTTTCAATAGTTGCTCATCGAAAAATATATTTGTTTTAAAGAATACATTTAACAACCTCGAAGAATACTAAGTAGACAAAGTTTCGAAGATGAAATTTTTGTGTATTCAGATTTTTCGGAAAAAAATGTAAGTCAATATTTTGAAAAACTGAATCGTCTATTACAC